CAGAATGTGTAAAAGGATTAAAAAATAAGTGGATACAACCTATGTCCGAGCCCTTGATTTACTATAACCAATCTTCCTACCATTTCTCTTAATAAGAAATCAAAGAAAGTAATAAGAATAAAATCTACAAATTAGTAAGTATAATGTTTTGGGACAAAGGTGTTCGTTCCATGTATTGGAAACACGTGCTTCCAAAAAGAGAACAAAAGATTGCTCCTGGCAACACTGCTCTAACTTCATATCTTTTAGCTAACAACATAAGACCATAAAAGGTATGATGTTTATCACTTACCCAAACCACAATACGGGCATCATGTGGGTGTGGCTACTACAATAACAAATTATAATGTAGTTGAACAAATGACTCCAGTAATAATTAATTTAGAAAAATGGTTGCTGACAGCTGACTTCAACTTTCTACACCCCAATATAATGTGAGGTCCGTGACCTCTTTTTCATTCATTTTATTTTTACTTTATTTCTTTTTCGTTTTTGGGCCGTGTGGGCCTAGCCTGGGACAAGTGCTCGGGAATTATTCCCGACACTTCTTTAGTCCATTGGGGCATGTTTTATCATTCATGACATTTTTGGGGCATTTCATTCTCATTTGGGCGTTTATTTTGCATTTGGGGGCTTTTATGTGACTTTGGGGACTTGTGGGGTCCACAATGACTTTTGGGGCCACTTTTGGAGATATTTTGTGCGTGTGTGTATGATACATACAGCCCTCTCTCTCTCCCACCCGGTTCTCTCTCTCTTCTTCTCTCTTTCCTCCATTGACAACCCTTGGCTTCAAGTTTCTTCTTCCATTTTGGCTTCCTTCCTTTGATCTTTTGGCATGGCCATAGAAGAGAAAAAGCTGAGGGACTCCATTTGCAACACAACCCTTCATTTTGTTTGGACTTTGGACGATTTTCACTTCTTGGATTCTTAGGGTTTGCTTCCCTAGTGAGGTAAGGGTGTATTATAACTCTAAACTAGTCCTTTCCTTGTGTTTTGGGGTATAGAATGTGTTGTGCTTGTATTGTGTGAGTTGTGAGAGTTTTTAGTACACATTTGTTCATAACCTAGGCTTACTTTGATGTCCTAAAGCATGAGTAGTGGTAGCTTTATGATTTAGTTGCTCAATGATGTGAATTAAGTGACTACATTGTTCACCTATGGTACTTGTATGTATAGGCTATTGTATATCCCTCTTGTATGAGATTTATTATGTGAAGCATGTTCAATCCTTGGGGATTTTGTGTGTAAGCTTTTGAGTAATTGTTCAAAGACATGAATTGATGATTAAATAGGTTGCTAGTGCATCTTGAGTATGAAATGTTAGCATGACTAAAGCCTATACTTACCTTGACATTACAAATGATTTGATATGTCATTATACTGTGAATCATGCCATGATAGCATTAGAGACTATAGGGCATGACTTGTGTGAGTATCAGAATTTAAGTGTGCTTATGAAGTGCATTATTCGATCATTAATGTACATGATACATAGTGGGATTTGTTGACAATTTTTGGGAGATTCTTGGGACTTGTTACTTGAGAATGCTAGGGCTTGGCGCTAGCCAACGAAACCAGGGTTTCCCGAACTTTATAATGGCCATTAGGTTTGTTCCCTATGGTTTAGTAGACCAAGAATAACTATTTTACCGGTTCATGCAGTATGTATGTCCGGGGGTGTGGGTGTGTCCAAGTTATCCCTATTATATGATTTTAAATCTTGATTTCCAAGTTGACATACATCTGAAATGTAGCTTGGCTTACTTGGACTTTAGAGTATAGTACTCGTATTGTTTACACTTGAAATGAATTTGAGAATATTGATTCAATTGCTAGTTTTATGATGCATATTTAAAAATCCCCTTGAAATAGACGATTAGGAGGCATGTCTGATGTAGGACAATGAACAGGCTCAAATAGAAGAAAGCAAATAATAGTTGTGGGCTGGAAATTCAGATAAACCAAGCTATGGTTCAAGAGTTGTTAATAGAGAAAATTGATTGAAAATAACAAAAGAAAACCTATTGGAATCACTCCAACAGGGCCTAAGTATCACACCTAAAGAAAGCCTCACACCTTCTGAATTTGTGAATCATTTACAAGAAATCTCAAAAGATACTGAGTAATCAAAGTTACATACTATCCTTTTTATAACAACTTATGACCCTTAGATTATCCCATTATTGAGGTAATCAATAGTTGACTCTAGCATAATAAAAGTAATCACCCCATAATTGAGGTAATCAATATTTGACCCTTGAATTACCCTATAATTGAGGTAATCAATACTTCCCTAATAGCATAATTAAAGTAATTAAAAGTTGACCAAGCTCCCAATTATTCAAAACTTCTATGTGAACCCATACTATCTAACCTATGCCAGCTCGAGTCTTAGAATCCTCCTTTTTATGCCTTTTATACACCTTTATTGATTTCTGCCATTGTTCTCCATCAATGTCCCATACTTGTATATCATATGCTATATTTGCGAAGCGAAAGAAACCTAGTTTACTTTTATAATGCATTTACTACGGAGTAATTTAAATTACTAACCCTCGTTGATTCACATTTTTCAGGTAAGGATGTGCTCTATTTGGATGCACCTCCATCTTAGCTTGGACTATTTGATGTCATTTTGAACTTCTTTTGGACAATGTATACATGCAATGTGTTTAGCATGTTTAATGTAATAATTTGGATATGAGAATACTTGGGAAATGTAATGTGTATTTTGAGAAGGAAAATGGCTTGGGAACTCATTTCTATCTTTTGGAGTTCTCAAGTGATTTCCTCTTCTTCTCTTCTCTTTTGTAAAACTATGCAAGTATTGTATGAGGCCAAAGAATCATTTTATGTCAATGTACGTTCTTCATTTAAATTGCACACTCTTGACATGCTACACGCACTTTCATTTTGGATTTCACATCCGCATGCCATGTACCATTATTAGGGGAATTTACAATATAGTTTTGATCCAATTGAATGCATGAGAATGACTTAGGAGTGACTAAGGTTTGGATTGCAAGTTGTAGAGTTTTTCTTGGAGTCCCAAGGAGAACCAGTTGTGGCTTGTTGTTTTAGTCGACTGATGGTAATGATTACTGTAGCACAGTACCGATTTGCCTATTGCGGTTGACCGATTTGCCCATTGCGGTCAACCAATGTGTTTTTTCGGTTAACTGGTTTGTGGACTTCTAGTTCGTGAACCTTAGGCCCTGTAGGTCCCACTTTGGGGTGCCCAATGGGTGGTTTATGATATTTTGATGTATGATTTATTGATTTAAGTGTACTTATGACCTAGTAGGATGTTTCACTCGCATAATGACCATTTTAACCTTAGCTTCCGCATTTTGGACTCAATATCTGGTTGGGATTTCGAATCATTTGTGGTTAATGCACCGGAGCATGAGATTTGGGGCGTTACATAAAACCACTCACCAGCTACACAAGTCGCCTAGTGTGCCAACCATGCTTCACACTGTCCATTAATTCTTTTTTTTCCCCTCTTTCTCTTTTTACTATTTATTATTTATTTACGTATTTATTTTTTTTGCAAAACTGTGCAAACTATAAGTTTAAAAAGAAAAATAAATAATACACGTACAATTTGCAGACTACACTGTAGCAGTCATAACAACGTTTTGCAAGTACTCCTAGCACTCATATTTTCAATACAACATCCCCTTAAGGCATTGAACATAGACCACCAACTACAGCAGAGTACCATTTTGTAAATTTGGTGCTTAAAGGTACAACTGTGACTCCATTAATTAAGAAAACATACAAAAGATAAGTGCAAGAGTGCCATTTATATCAAAATGTTAATAGCAATTGAAATATTGAAATGGAAAACATAATATGATACGCTTTGAGTAATGCCCAACTTACCTTATTATTATTATTATTATTATTATTTTCAACTCTGAGATGTTTTACATAGAAATTTACTTAGCAAAATCTGATCTTGCCAAGTACATCAATCATATTGCAGAATGAAAAATGCTTTATAAATAACAATATAATTAAAAAAACTAAAATTCTTCTCATAGGATTTTCTAAAGTTCAGAAGTGGTAATATTAAATCAAATTGATCAAACAAGTGGTGCAGCTAACACATAAGTACATAATACAATCGCCAAACAGAATAATGTGATCCAGCGTTTAAGCTTAGTAAGGACCAATTTGAAACCATAAAGTAGAGCATGATAAATTTAACACTGATAAAATTTAAGACAATGTAATGATAACAATTCAATGTAAGATCAATAATTATTTTCGGTATTTAAAATCAATAATACAAAATGGGGAAATAGATGGTGATGTAATAAGTAGGATTGCAATAGGTTGGGCAAAGGGAATACAAGTTAGTCTTATGTTATGTGACAAAAAAATAAAAAATCAAATAGGTTAAAAGCAAGATTCTATAAGAAAATACAAGAACAATTATCTTATACTGAGAAGAAGGTTGGCATTGAAAAATAAGTAAGAATAACGTATTTATGTTGTCAAAATGGGAATGTTAAGATAGATGAAGCACTAATTTGAAGATATAAGTTCAGTAATAAAAAAGTTAGAGAAAGATAAGGTGTCACATTTATTAATTATTAGTAATAAAATAAGAGAAAGAAGGCTTAAATAGTATGGCCATAGACAGCATAGGTCATAACATGCACTAGGAAAAAAACACAGAAAATTAGTTAAAATAGATGATACAGGCAAAAAGAGGAAAACCAAAAATAACTTGGGATGGAGTTACAAAAGAGCTGTAAGAAAACCTAACTATTATAAGAGACATGACTTATATTAGAAAAGAATGGAAAGATAAGAATCCATGTGACCAACCCCATTTGGGTGAAGAAATCAGGACAAGGATGACGATGATGAATAAAGTTCATGATAAAGCAAGTTTATTTGTCGGAGTCAATTAAATGCAATAAAAAAACCCACATATGACACAAAAAATTGAGCATATATATCTCAAGAAACAGAACATGTACCTGTATAGGAATCCCAAATCAAAGGTCTAGTTTTTGCTTCTCTGGTTACCTCGATTTCCTTCAAGCACAAAATTATAAGAACATAAGCATAGTCAATATAAGTTTCATATTTGAGAGATACCATTTGGTTTATTAATGATTTTAATTAAATCAATGTCACATTGTCATTTATGGAAATGAACAATATTACAACATAACAAAATAAAAATAAAAAGAATCACACATGAAGAGCATTTTAGACACCATGTCAAAATTTTCAAAGAAATATCCATTTTAGTAGTAAGTTTATAGAAATACATACTGCAACACTAATCAAGCATCCAGAAACAAATTAATACTGATTTCTAAATGAGCCCTTCGGCTCCCCATTCAGCTGGGCTTTTCAGCCAACCTATCATTTTCCATAAATTTATGGGCATACAAAGTTGTATCATATGCTAAGCTGGAAAAGGTGTGCATGATAAAAGGGGAACAAAAAGGGAAAAAAGTCGGCTTTGCTAAAGAGTAAAGAAACACACATGCATAGCACATAAGCAACTACACAATTGTTATGAATGAGAACAATATGACTCCAGAGAATTGAAAGATGTACAGTCACCATGTAAAGTTACCATCAGATGACATCGAATGGGAATAGTTATTGGAGTCTTTACAACATAAGAAACCTAAATCAGAAATTGCAAATTATCTTATTTCTTCCACAGACGTAGTCGCATACTAGTGTGTTTGCATTCTAAAGACTTGTAGAAGAATTTTACAATTTTTCATTGTTCTTTGTGAAATCTAAGAATCATGATATACCAATCACGTAATAAAGAATAAAAGTTTTGGCAGGAAGGAAAAGGACTTCTAATATAGAAGATGTTCCAGAAGAGTGGGAATGTTGTCTTCATAAGGAATTTTACATCATCATCATCATCATCATCATTATTTTGATAGAATTCTTTTCTCACATGATTGCTAATTTACCACAAATATAGGGTGGTGTCGGAAACTATAGTTTCTCTTCCTAACAATGGTTAATTTATCCATTAGTTTACATGATATTACTAGATATAGGTTCGACTTTACATGATATTTCACTTGAGGGATCTTTCAATGGTGTGATTTGCAGTGGATCATTACTTGAATGTGCAACATTTGTTAATTCATATCTGAATAGTCTCCCTCTTTATTTTCAGTTCGAATAACAAATTTAGCAAGGAAAAAGAAAAGTAGTGCAGAGGAAACTATAATGCCTTATTTGGTTCCTCATCAACATCCTCGTCTTTATCCCGTACAAACGGGGTCGGCCACATAAATTCTCTTTTTGCAATCTTTTCTATCATAATCCATTGCTCCTACTAGATTTAAATTTTTTAAATCATTTCTTATTACTTCATTCCGTCTTTAATTTTGGTCGGCCTCTTTGTCTTAAAACTTTCTATGCAAATCAACCTTCCTCTCCTCATTGGCGCATCTATATGTCGGTGTTGAATATATCCACACCAACTATGTCTCGCTTATTTTCTAGCTAATATGCGCCACACCAAATTTCTCCCCAATTCTTTTATTATTAATCATATCTTTCCTAATTATCCCTAAAATCCATCTTAACATTCACATTTCTGCCACATGGATGCGTTGTTCGTGCTTCTTCTTTAACAACCAATATTCCGCTGGCTATAAAATAGTCGGTCCAGTGACTGTTCTATATACGTTCCCTTTTAACTTATTTGGTATTCGTTCATCGCATAAAACCCCTCTAGCATTGCTCCACTTTGTCCAAACTATTCCAACTCTACTACTTACACCATCATCAATCTCTCCATCTTTTTGTACAATTGATGCTAAGTATCGAAAATAATTACTTTGGTCTTGAATTTTTATTGATGTCATTTTCTATAGAACTAATAAATTTACATTCAATGTATTCTCTTTTAGTTATACTAATTTTTAAGCCTTTTGACTATAGTACAATTCTCTAAGCTTCTAATTTTATTGCTAGGGTTCCTTAGAGCTATCCAATAGCACTATGTCATCTGCAAATAGCATGGACCATGAAAGGTCTCCTTGCAAGTCTTTTATTAATTCACCCAAGATTACCATAAAGAAATATGGACTTGGCGACTAACATTGGTGTAATCCTACTATTAAAGGAAAATCACTCGTCTCCCCACACATAACACGAACTCTAGTCTTAGTATCCTTTTACATATGCTAAATAAAAACTATAAATCTTTCTACAATACGTTTTCTTTGTAGAGCCCACCAAATCAAAGAAAAGGAGGAATGGAAAACGCCTAATTTAACTTTCATCTCCCTTTCTTTCTCCTTGTTGTCAATCATGTTTTAGAAATTCAATCTCATTTCAGATCAATACTGGAGCATATGTGAAAATATCATACTTAATTTAGCATTTTTTCATTTTCTTTGCCTTTCCCTTTTCCCTTCCTAAATCCGTGAACCAGAAAGAACTTTCTTTAACTGCAAAACCAATTCAGCATTCTGTGATAATTCATATGGTGGCATACAAATAGGAAATTATGCTTCAACCCCAGAATTTTCTTGGATCAAGTGTTGGCATCAGATAAGATAAGACTCAGTATAAGACCATGTAAATTAAAGATGCCCAAATGATTTGATCCAACTAATTCAACATACAATGGGCTAATTCAATATACAACATGAGCACAGAGCACTTATCCATGAAGGGAAAATGCCACAATGGCAAGCTCGGTCTAACAACGTACCAACCAACAATTATAAATCGGAATTGTAATAATGCTCTAACCTATGCAAGTAAGACTACCAACAAAACCAGATTCAGGCAATTCATCAAACAACTTGGATGCAATCCGTAAGAGTAAAGAGCTGCCAAATTTAAACTACACATAAATTGGGTCACATAATAACCTGTAAGAGTGAAGAGCTGATAAATTTAAACAACAAATAAACTGGGTCATAATTGCCTACCTCAAAACATGGTTAATGGCGGTTGTAGAGGAAAATGGCGAGCAGAGCAAGAGCAAGAGCATAGATGGTCCAGTAAATGAGCTGAAGCCAAAGTGGAAAAGGCGTGGTGATGGCAATGAAGAAGGCTGTGACCGCAAAGAGGACACCCATATCCTCTAGGCCTTGGGCCAACTTTGGGGACTTGGGATAGATGTACTTTGTGAGAGAGGAGAGTGACTGCAATAACGATGGCGTGAGAGAGGAAGTGAAAGCTTATAGGAGTGAAGCACGATCAGTTTGGAGTGATTGAAGTGCAATTGCGATAGCCCATATTGAAAGGCAAAATCCGATTACTTTCGCTGCCCACTCAGCATCATGGTCAGGAACGACACCCGAGGGCTTAGGAACGTCGTCTGCTGGTTCGGATTGTTGGTGGTGCTGGTCGTCATCTGTAACACTTATTTCGAGGCCTGAAGTAGAAGAATGTGGTGAAGATTGCGGGTTTGGCGGGAGGGACATTAGGAGTCCTTGTAGGAAAAGCTTAATTGAAAGAAATTTATTCTTCATTTCTTGAGTGACTTCACTTCCCAGCAATACTGCTATAAATAGTGTATATATAAGAAGTCAATGGGATTCGGTGCCGTCCTCTGTTTATCAGTAAATTGTTAAAATATATAAAAACACTTTTTATATTTTTTCATGATCCAAAATGCCCCTCTCTACATTATACTCTCTCCTCTGTTTCTCCCTCTTAATTGCATACCAAATTTCTTGCTCATCTTGGGTCTTCTGATTTCCAACCAAGCTATCACCTTCGTCCTTGTCCTGTCACAACATAACTTCCGCCAAAAAGAACCCAAGACAAAACAAACAAACCCATCACCGCCATTCCTTGCTCGTTCGCATCAGAATCTCTCTGGCAACAGTTATTCACCATGGTTTCAGTGTTGAATTAAATAATTCAAGGATGAGTACAAAACAATGATAAAGTTAAGTCAGTCTTTTATGAAAAAAAAAAAAAAAAAAAAAAAAAAAAAAAAAAAAAAAATGGGGAAAAGAAAAAGAAAAAAGAAAAAATATTTAAGTCTGTCTTCGGCCTTTCCCCAGCATTCTGCTATACCGGCACGACTGATGGCCTTTTTAGGTGAATATATACTTCAAGGAAGATTAGGCTGCTCTACTTATTTAAAATATTTAATTTTTTTAAGTAAATAAAATTAAGCCTAGAAGTCAAGTGAGAGACATAGGACTTTGAACCAAAAAAGTCATAGCATATATTGATAAAACGGTCCAAAATCCAGGAGCATTCATAAATCAAGAACCATATATGTGATTTATATAATTGTTGACTAAGATAGTTCAAAATTCAAAACACTTGATGCCATTATTCACTGTTTTTATTTGATAAAATCCAAATTGTGCTGCAATTGGATTTTTTATTTCTTTCTTCGCACTCTAAAACAAATGAGATAATAGATAATTGACTATTAATTTTTATAATATTAAGCAATTTACTCATCAATTTCGATTACAGAACCTCCTAAAAGTGCACAAAGCACTATATTCTATCATCTATACGCATATTACCAATCAAAGTCCAAAACCCAAAAGAGATAAAACCCAGGTGAGAATACTTGATGGTAGATAATTGAATGCTAATATTTACAACATTTAAGCACAATTTTTTTTTTTTTTTCCCTAAATTAACATTAAGCACAATTTGATATATAATTTATTAATATATCTATCATTTTTAAGACCATAGAACAACCAGAAAGTACAGAAACGCTATGGAGAGAGTATAATGTAAGAGGGGCATTTAGGACCATGAAAAAATGTAAAAAGTGTTTTTGTATATTTTTATAATTAATTTCACAAAGTTGGTAGAAAAAGTTAACATTTTTTATAATATGAAAAACTAAGTAGTGGGATTTTAAAATTTCCCCTTTTTTATTTTTTATTTTTTCGCCATCCAGCCATACCTTCAGCTTTGGGTATACTGGTGTGGTCCACTAGCCGGACCCCACATAAAGGGCCCACTTCATTTTTTCTGGTCGGCCTTAATACAGTATGGTAAAATAAAATCTACAAATCAAATTCTCTCTCTAGATCTCATACCAGTAAATCTGTTAACGGGTTGGATTCAGATTGAATCTGCTTGGTTCGATTTGAATTTGATAAGTATTTTATTCGATCAGACTCGATTTAATAATACGAATTTTTGTAAATAAATTCATATCGGATTTGTTAATAATAGATATTCAATCTGATACAAGTATAATTTTTTTATTTTTATTTTTATAAAAGAAAATAATAAATAATTAGAAAAAAAAAATTAAAGAAAACAAAAGATAAAGAAAATATGGAAGATAAAGAAAAAAACTATTGTAAATATAACATTATGAATTTTTTTTTTTTTTGCCTCCAATATAAATTTTATAGTATTGTATATATATAATATATATATATTTAATCGGATCGAATTATTATCAAATCGGATCAATATAAATCTATATTCGATTTGTTAAGAAATTAAATTATCGATTTCAGATCGTAATTGAGTTATTAGATTTTTTCTTCAATCCAAATTCGAATAATTGGATCGAATTTGGATTAGAAGCTGATTTATTGACAGGTTTACATATCAGTATCATTTTATATTGTGAGTCTTTTCAAAACCTTATACTTTGTCTTTGAGTGTTATGGTAATCATTACCTGCAAAATATGGGTTAAATTTTATTTTATTTTATTTTGTTCTGTTTTGTTATATAAATACCAAGTAATGAAGAGTATTATAGGAAATTAATTAAAATAACTTTTTTTTTTTTTTTAATTGAGTTTGCCCACCCGAATTACATCACTAGAATAGACTATGTTTTCTGTTGGTCTATATGTACTGAAATTGTAACACATTCAAAATCTAATCATCAATAAAAAATTTATAAATTTCATCCGGATGAAAGCCAATAATTTATACTGGCAACCATTCGAGATAGAACTAAGTTCATGGATGGAGTAATCAGAACTTTCATGCGCCTCTCTCCATTACAAATCAAAGATTTGGACATGAACAAAGATTTTTGTTTCAAAAGTGTCTCCCACATTTGAAAGGTATATACGGATTAATAGAAGTTTCTCATTCAGAGCATTTGCAATTATCTCTTAAACTCAAAATATAATAGAGGGATAAAAATAAAACACTCCAATGGACTCTCAAAATGCCTCTCATATTTTGAGATTTTCAAATGTATTTCCAAATATAGCAGCTCTCAAATGGCCTCTCAAACTCAAAATATAATAAGTGAATGAAAATAAGCACTCCAATGAGTTCTCTCAAAATACTTTTCATATTTTGAGATTGTCAAAAGTTACTAAAATGAAAATAAGATACTCCAATAAGCTCTCAAAATATGAAATGATTGTTGTGTCAAAAAACATTAGAATAGAATTACAAAAATATAGCATTTTGACAATACCTTCTCTTAAAACATAAATTTGATATAAAAATATAATATTTTGCATTAGAGATGATATGAGAGATTCCTTTTAGTTTATTACCTAGTGATATTTTTGAGAAATATCCATTGCAATAATAAGTACATAAAAATACTTTAAAACTTAATTAATTCAACTAACCAACAATTAAAGTGGGTGGTGATTTAGACTAATTGACTACAAGAAATATTCGTAAAGGGAGTGCTTGAAAGTAATTCCACCAAGCAACAATTTCAAGATTCTATAAGATGCAATTTATTTATAAAGGGACTTGAGATGGCATGCTCGATCTGACCTTACAACTAACAATTACAATTTGAAACCTGTATTAATGACTCGTACCTCTGCTCTGCATTCTGCAAGTAACAGATTGTGGCAATTCGTGAAACAAACTTATTTTAGTAGACGCCGAATAGGTTTTAATGGCGGATATAGATGAAAATGGCGAGCAGACCAAGAGCATAGATGGCCCAGTAAATAAGCTTAATGTAGAGTCGGAAAGGTATGGTGACGGCGAAAAAGAAGGCTGTGAAACCAAAGAGAACACCCATATTCTCTAGCAATTGGGCTCGCTCCGGTGACTTGGGATACATGAACTTTGAGATAAAGAACAGAGTGAGTGCAATAACGATGGCGTGAGAGGGAAAGTGGAAGCTTAGAGGGAGTGGAGCGTGAATTTGGAGCGATAGAAGTGCAATTCCAGCAGCCCATGAAAGGCAAAATCCGATTACTTTCTCACGCCAGTCAACGACATTGTGTGCAGGAACAACCACACCAGAGGGATGGACTATTACTGGAGGTGTTTCGGGGTCTGAAGGAGAAGAAGATGGTGAAGGTTGCGACTTTGGTAGAAGTCTTTGAAGGAAATGCTTCATTGAAACCAGCTTTTTCTTCGTCTCTTCCATTCTCTCTTACTGTCCCTCATCAAGATTTGGGGTTTTTAATCAAGGGTGTGACACCCTTGGTTAACTTAACCAATGATATTGGGTTAACCAAGGGTGTTCGACAAGTTGAACTTTGACAATTTCCGTTAACTTAACCAAAGGTGTGTCGACTTTTGGTTAAACTCGACAATTTCCGTTAAGTTAACCAAGGGTGTGTGGAATTGGGGATCTTCATGGTTTGTAGGCCCAAAGCGATAGCCGACATGGGCAGCCCAGAGAGCTAAGCATAAATCAAGAGCCCAAGAGGGTTTAAAAATCCTCATAGCTAAGGCCCACCTAAACAGATCACAATTAAGAGGCTTTAAGCTCATAGCTACTGAAATGCACATACTATTATATGCGCATTTTTATAAGGAATCGCCAAGGCTCACAAAAATTGAAGACGTACTGGTATCGTTTTAGTGTAATATCGACGAACTAAAAAGTATGAAGTGAGTATGGGGATAAATTTGATAGACTTAATAAAATTTATAAAATCTTGCTAAGTGTCTTTGATATTACTTTTCTACTAAATTATTCATTTGCGTAATATGTGCCTTGTAAAGCACATTGAGCTGATTCTAAATGGTTTCTTATATGGTCTTGAATTAGTGCCACATGTCAAAAAGCGGGTCAAGTCTTTGCTAATTAATCCAACATGATAGTGTCTGTATTTGTACTCTGTTTCAATTACTCAATTTTTTTTTCGCTGTCATTAATAATCTGTTTCAACTACTCTGATCTTATTTATTTATTATTATTATTTTTTTCATATCATAACATGCAAGGGCTGAGCAGAAATTTAATTTAGGGGCATATTAACACTGATAAAATAATTATTTTTTCAAACAGACAAAAAATATAATAGTGTAACAACAGTACATTAGAATAAGTGAATAAAAAATAAATAAGAAAATAAAAAAGATAAAAAAAATGAAAGTTATTGCATATAAATTATGTATGAGTGCAAGAAAAAAGAGATTTTTAAGAAGAAAAGGGAATTTTTTAAGAAGAAAATAAAAAGAAAAAAAATATGAGAATTTTGAAGGAAAAAATAGATTTTAATTATAGAGAGAGAATGCAAAAGTTTTTAAAGATCACAAACAGAAATTTGAAGAATAAGAATGATAATGAATAAAGAATTAAAAACGTTTTTAGAAATAGATAATTTTATAGGGGATAATTTATAAATTTTATTAGGGTACTTTAAAAATATTTACAAATTATATGCATAAAATAAAATAAAAATTAGTGGATTTAGGGGCAGAGGGACCATTTTATTAATTTTAGAGGGGCCACTTTATCAATTTTTACAAATTAATGTATTAAAAAAAATAAAAATTTAATGGGGTAGCATGGGCAGGGGGGCAGCTGACCCCCTGGGTACATGCTATCTCCGCCCCTGATAACATGTGCCTTGTAAAGCACAGTGTCTTAACAAGCGAGCTCGAGAATGAGGGCATCGGAAAAATATTTTCTCTAATATTAAATACATCACTCTTGATTTCCACCAGATTTCTAACTTAATAATCGGAGCGTTCTCAGTTGGTATTACACCGGTGCCATATGAATTGACATCATCTTTTTATTTTGCAAGAATTGTCGCCATTTTGAGTCGTGCGAAATTTCACATCAACAAATTTTATGTTATTTTTCTAATTGAAGCATAATATATTTTGAATCTCCTGGGGGCCATAAACTAGCCTGAAGCTGCCTCCTTGGATCTATCTTGCAGGGACC